TAATGAAAAAATATATTTAACATATTTTTAACATGTACTTTTTTTTTATAAATATACATAAAAAATGATGAGTTAAATTTATATACATATTAATATTGAGTTTTTACCTTGATATTATTAATATTTGGAAGAATTTTATGAGATTTTATGTGGGTTTCATTTTTTGTGCAGAAAAAGACTTAAATGCATAATAATAGAAGTTTTTGGAATTAATTGAACATATTCTGGAAGTTAAGGGACTGAACTGCAAGAAGAAAGAGGCTTCTTTGGGACCTAAATGAATGAATCTTAAGTTTTAAGATCTCAGTGCTCATCGTACAAAACCTGGAGGATCAGATCTGACATTTTATCATTGAAGAAATTGCAAAACGAGGCTAGAAACCCGACACGGGTGTGGTGTCGACACATAATCGGGGTGTCGACACTAGGCGCAAGCGACCGCATATTCTTTTCTGGTTCTATGTCAACACGTAATTAAAGATGTTAGCACTATGCATTCAGCGTCCAAAAATTTTAATATTTTATTTTTGGTTCGAGTCCTATTTCTCTTCTAATAGGGTTTTTTAAACTCTATAAATACCCATTCAAAAATCGATTTTGGAGTTTTGGAGAGAAGGCCAAGAGAGACATTTAAGAGGAATTCAACAACAAAAAAACCTCAAAACTTGAATTTTATATCGTCAAACTGGTTTTGCTTATTTTTGAATTTTATTTTATGATATTGGATACTCGTATATTGATCATGGGACTATGGATTTTATTTTCTTTAATTATGAACTGATTTAACCATCTAAGGTTACGATATAACCTAATCAATTTAATATAATTTTATGATTTTTATATTTTCAAAATTTATTATTTTATGTAGAGTATATATTATTGTTCTTAATACTTTTTAATGATTGGTCACCATTAAAACTGATTTAGAGAACATAATTGAGACCGAAAGGAGATTTTATGCAATAGATTCTATTAATATATATACCATAAATTGAACAAAAGTCAGAGATGGATCAACATAATTTGCACAGCATTAGTGATAAATGGATTTAATTTTCCACGTAAACTAGGATATTTCACAAAACATAATACATCTTTATCTATTTAAATTCATATAAAAATATAGTGGGTTAATAAGTAAATATATGTTTGGTATAACTTGAAAAAGTATATCAGATAGGATAGGAAATCTTGCTGTCACATAAATAAGAAATACCTTAAAAGTATATTAATCTAAATTCTATATTAGTTGATTATGGTGAAATCGGATACCTTAAAATTTTAACTCTTGGTGTTACTTAAAATCAATTTGGTTTTTTATTAATTAGTTTAGTTATTTAGTTTAGTCAAATCATTTAATTTCAATTGTTCAAATAAAATTAAAATTAGTTAATTTTGGTACTTAATTAGTTTATAGTCTCTGTGGGAACGATACTTTATTTTCATCATTATATTACTTGAACTGATTAGTATACTTACTAAAGTGGAATTAGCTTATCAAAAAATATAAAAATTGATATTAATTTTAGTATCAAGTGAATTAAATTAAATAATTAATAAATTAAAAATTAATTTTTATTTTTTCAATACAAATTTACGATAAAAAAATATATTAAATACACTTTTAACTTATGAAAACATAAGTTAGATAAATTATTTTTTTATTTAAATTATATGTTATTATATATATTTTGATGAAAGATTTTATAACTTAACATATTCTTCACGTGTAAGTTTTGTATAAACTTAAGTTATGTTAGGTGACTTAATATATCCTTTAATATGCAGACCTAATATAAATCTCAAATATTGTCAAATAAGTTAATAATAAGCTTCTAACCCCTGATTAATTACAAATGTAGAGGTCCCTAAGGATAGGCTTTAATTTGGATTTGTTCAATGAATACTTTCAATATAACCGCATCACTGTTCTTATCAATCGATGACAGTCTCTTGTCCATATCGGTGGGTAGTGAATTACTATTTGAACTTTATAATGCACGTTTTTCCTCAATCAAGGATAGGTTTTAATTTGACTTTATTCAAGGAATACTTTCGATATAACTTGTCTCTTTAAATTTTTAATTTGGATGGTCCAGATTTGATTTGATTTGATTTGATTTTTTTGGTTTTATATGCAGTAAAACATAGAATAAAAACAGTCTTTTAACCGCGAAGTTAAGAAAATTATTATTTATATATAAAAAAAAATAAAAAATGATGTTATCTGAACCGTCCAGATTACAATTCACTTTTCCATCAATCAAGAACAGGCTTTAATTTGGCTTTGTCTTCCTCAATCAATACTTGTACAGGTTTTTTTTTTTTGAGAAAAATACTTGTACAGGTTTTGATTACAAATTTTATTAAACTATGCACGTTTCATTCAAATTTGTCACGGGTCTAACAGTGACAATGTAGTGGTCCCTGAGGACAAG